TTTTCCCCCCCCCACCCCCCCCCCCCCCACACACACACTTTTTTTTTTCTTATCAGTATTCATCCCTTAGTTTATCGGGCTATATTTATAAGTTGGCCATTCATTGAATGGTAAAAGAAAAAGGATGACAAAAACAGAGTCGTTTACTGCAGAAGTAGAAGTTGAGCATATTAGACAGGAAATTACTCAGAAACTAGAACAATAAGCAGCTGGAGGGATCTCTCGCTGTCCAAGCCACTATCATGCATAGTATTTATTTTAAGGTTCATTTATCTAAACTATGATAGTTTACACACTTTTCATATGGCTAGCACAGACCAACTAACTGATTAAAGAAAAGTTAACCATCTAGTAAAACGAGTATTTGGCAGACAAAAGATGCTATATGTAGCATACTGGGGCACTTTCATGGCAAAATATGTAATATGTACCTTGCCTTCTACCTTTCTCATAAACAATATACACGCAGTGTAGCTGGGGCTCCATGACAGCATGTGTACTACAAAAAGATATTAGAAACCTGATTGAATAAACTCCAATCCTTAAACTGTAGGTTATGGGTTTGCAAAATACCAAAAGAAGTAAACATCACAGAAGACTAAATGCATAAGACTTGAAATAAATGCTTAAAGCTCTTATATTCTGTTTTCTTTACATATGCTTTTGTGGCTTAAAGTAGAATTTTAAAATTTAGTGGTCCTTATTGATTTTTAATAGGCTATCCTTGGTGGTAAAGTTGAGGTACCAACTCTATCTGGAAAGACAGAGATACAGGTATGGCGTTTTAGACTGGGTTTATCTATCTTTCAATATTTTTTATTTATTTTATTATCATGGCGTGATAATAAATTTGAATTTCAATTAGTATAGTGAATTATGTGTCACCTTGATATTGGATGTGTGTTCAATTTTTTTTTCCATTTTGATTGTTGATTTTTCAATCATCTTTTGACTGAATGGCGGTGATTTTGGTTGTTTGCACCCAAGGTTGTGGCCTGCTTTATTATTTGCTCAAACTCTTGGGGTTTACAGGGTTTAAACAGTAAAGTCTACATGCTCTGATTACATCATAATTATAAGAAGAAAGTCAATCTAATTGATCCTAACAGATGTATACCATATTTACAAGATCCTAACCATATCTACAAGATCCTAACAATTTTAATATATTAATTTAACCCCATTTGGAAACTTGAAAATGAGTTTTCAGGTCTTGAGTTAGACTCTCAACAAGAGAGTGCAGTTCTACAAATCCATGGATGGAAATTTTTCCTTACAAAAAGAGGTAGTGATGTTTTAGCAAAAGAGAAACCTAACACCAATTCTCCTAAAACAGAGAGCCATTTCATTCCATCCATAGTTTTCTGAAAATAAACAAAAACTTCTATTTTTTCAAAAAAAAGTTGGAAAAAAGTTATTGAAACCAATTCTCATTGAACAAAAACAAATTGTTTTCTAATCCAAACTAAAGAGGAAAGATGAGATGAAAGATTGTTAGTGAAGCTACTTCAATGCTTGTAAACAAGCTTGGACTTGGCTTTGGGATTGAACATCAATTGCGACAATTCAATAAAAAGACATTTCCATCTCTTCTGTCAGGCCTTTTTTCAGTTGTGGAAGTTGCTTTACTGTTTCATATGTTGCCTGAAAAATCAGCAGCTAGAACCATTGAACTCCCTCTTTTACCAAAGCTTGCTGCTATTTTCTATTTCTGGTCTTTTTAGGTACCCAAGGGGGTTCAGCCTGGACAACTTGTGGTACTACAAGGCAAAGGTATCATAGCTTTAGTTACAGTGAATTCTAATCTGTTTAATATACTTCCTTCTGAGCAATCAGACTTGTTGTCTGTCATACTTAGGTTTGCCAAAGAGTGGATTTCTGGTGAACCATGGAGATCAATATGTGCGGTTCCGTATTGACTTTCCAACGTATGTTTCTCTCTCACCTTTCCAGATCATTTTTATCCTAAATCAATTATTACAGTTCACTGAACTCATTAGAAAATCAGGCAAATTGACAATATTAACTATTGCATTGCTTAGAGGAAATACCAAATGTCTTTAATGGGGTTTTAAGCTAATAAACTCAAGGATGCTACCTGAACTGATTTATAATAAGTCAAGCACCAAAATTAGCCACTCTTGCATCCTCATGGGCAATGAGAACAGGAAGAAAATGCTTTTTTTTTTAACAGGTAACATTTTTGTGTATTAATGACAACCTACACAAAGAGTGTGTAGTCCCCCATATTTACATCCAGATGAGCAAAAATAAAATAAAATAAGCTCCTAGTCCTTAATCTTCTCGTAAGGAATCAAGTACATCATAAACTGATTCTAACTCCTCCATTAAGCTATGTTTACACCAAAAAAAGAAAAGCCCTAAACATTTCAACTTTAGTTTCTGTATACGAATGGCTTTGTCTTCAAAACAAACTTTGTTTCTTTCTCCCCACACAGTCCACCAAATGCAAGCTGAGACAATTTTCCATCTCTCTTTCTGATTGGAGGGATTGGTATCACTGTTCCAGCATTTCAATACATCAGATACTCTTCCCAGCATAGTCCAGCTAATGCCCCTCAAGTTAATGAAAATCTTCCACAACTGGTCAGTCCAGCTGCAGTGAAGAAAGAGATTGAGAGATTGTCTCTGCTTCCTTAACCACAGAGAAAAACACCTTGAGCAAAGATTGAAACCTCTCCTCATGAGTGTATCTTGTGTGAGTACAACTTCTCTGGCTAGCAGTCCAAGAGAAGCCATGCAACTTTGTGAGGGATCTTAACCCTCCAGACCATCTTCCAAGGCCAGGTCCACTCTGATTGTTTGAGGTTGTGAGTACTCTGTATGCTGCTTTCACTGTAAATTTGTTCTCCTTATTCCTTGACCATATCAAGCAATCTGCGTCAGTTGATGTACCTTTGAACTGTTCTAAAGTTCCGAAAAAGCTTGCTAGTCTGTCAATTTCCCAATCATTTAAAGCTCTTCTGAAACTCAAATTCCACCCCTGTTCACCCCAAACCATTTCAATTGTTGAGTTTTGTTGTTGATTGAGAGAGTATATGTCTGGATAGAGTTGCTTTAGGGGGCCTTGTTCAATCCATTTATCATTCCATAGATCAACTTTCCTTCCATTACCAATACTGAACATGGTTTTTGTTAGCAATTTGGGCCACAAGTTCCTTATGGATTTCCAGAGACCAACTCCATAAGGACTATTGCTTACTTTTTTTTTTTGATGACAAGGGAAGCCCGCAGCCTCTACCCTTTGGGTGCGCAGGGTAAAACCCCCGCTCCTATGCAATAGCTCGCAAACCACATAGGAGAGGTAACCCGCACTAGGCAAGCCCGATGCGACGAGCTCGACCCATAGTCCATAAGTGACTTCAAAAAGGATCATCGATCTGATGTACAAGTATAATTTGTGTGAACTCATCCAACCTTTTAAATCATTGCTAGGGCATGTGTTCATACAAGTAAATAGATATTTTGTTTGGGATCATGAACATTCCCCAGGCAATTGCACCATTAATATCTCCGAGAGATTCCTTTGTGAAGTGTGAACTGCTTATCTTTATTCATATTCTGCAGATGTTTAGGGATTGGGGATAGTAGGAATGACTCATGTGAGCATTAAAGAAATTGGTGTTTAGTTTATAACAGGTTAGTAATGTGTCAAAATGAGAGGAAGATAGATTCATTCTCATAACCAGTGCGTTGACTCAATCCTTGAGTGATCTGCTGAAAAAATCTGAAATCAAGCTTTCCTGATCTGAGCTGGTAAGAAACCTTGTATCACCAAATGAACTATAAACAAGCAATACCTATTTGTTAGGTATGAAAATATCTGGGGAGTCAAATTATACATTGAATGCATCTACAAGTTTATAATCACTTTCTCTTTCCTTTTGTTGTGTTACTGTTACATTTATTGATATATTTTACTTTTTCGGAAATATTGTTATTTGGGTTTGAACCAATCTGGTATCAGTAGTTACTAGGTGTTGGTAATATTGAGGTATTGATAGATGTGTATTAAGGCATATAAATCCTCATTATGGGGTTAGGCATTAGTTGTCTACTTAAAATGGTTTTGCAGTTGGTCCAAAGGGTTGCCTAAGATGAATTTCTGTCACCCAAAAAAAAGTGGTAAAATGTTTTATTGATTATTAGACTTGGGGCCCGTTTAGCCATGTAAGATGTAGTCATGAAATGAGATGAAGCTGAAGTTCTGTTTGGACATGCAATTTGGATTTTCCAGTTGTATTTTTTACCCATAAACATAAAAATTCCATAAGTTGTGAAAACTATCAAAATTGCCCCAATCTTTATACAATCTTACCAAATTAACAAAAATTCATAACAAAAGTATAATACACTAAGACAAAGTTTTTCTAAAAAAATACAACATTTATTGATTGAACTTTAGTTCAATAAAAAAGTAAAATTGAGCATGAGTTGTAGTGTACTGACTCTTTAACATAACATTGTGATAGTGTACAACCTAATACTTGCCTACCAACAAAAATAACATTTTTGTAAAGAAATACTAAAGAGATATGTGACAGAAATGAAATAGTTTTGTGTAAACAAATAATATTTACTAAAGAGACATGTGATGGAAATGATATCAACTATAATTTTGTTTATATATGCAATAAATGATTGCTAGATATAAAATTGTGTTTTTTTTACAAATATAAACTTGTGGGTCAATTTTTGTATTTGAAAAATGTGAAATCATGATATGAAATTCCCAAATCAAGCTTTCTGGAGAATTTGGATGAAAACGCATGTCCAAACGCTTATTTCATCTCATTATTTCAAATCACGGGGTGAAATCACATGTCCAAATGCTAGTGTGTTAGGGAAGTACTTAAATATATGTTTGAAGTTTGGAAAGTGAAGTAGTTAGTTGAAAATATGTCCTCGTATTATAGTTTGAGTTAGAAATAGTTTTCAACTTGAAGAAAGAGATCATTCTTGGGATTAATTAACAAGGAAACAAAGTAGATCAACTATTACGGATGAAGGGAGTAGCTTATCAGATGAAATTCTTCTGACCAAACATTTTTCATTTATTTTTCTATTTTTATGTTGCTCATGAACTTCCACTAGAGTTTGCTGCATGAACAAAATTTCACAGATGCTCTTTTTTCTTCTTCTTCTTTTTGTAGATCATTGAATGAACGGCAGCGTGCTATAATGGAAGAATTTGCACAGGAGGAAGTTATTAATGGAGATTACATGGATGGAGAAGTAAATTTGTAAGTTTTCTTCTTTACTGTCATTGAAGGCATGACATGACTCTGATCCATCAGTAGTATTTGCTTACTCAGCATTCTTTAAACTTTTTTGATAACTAATTTAAGAAGACTATAACTGGAAATTTTGTGCTATCTTTGATGCATGTGAATGTTCCCATGAATACTTGAGAAGTTCACCACAAGTACATACTGTTAAAAGTCAATTGAAATAATTTACAACAAGTTATTTTTCTAGCCAAAAAGAAAGAAGAAGACCGGAGATAATGGGGTTGCCTTCTCTCCAGTTATTATGCTATACCGTAAATACGTGATCAAAATTATGCTGGCTTAGCGATTTCAGCACTCATTGAACTTCACTAACTATATCAGTTGGTTTCACCATTTATTTGGAGGTGTATTCTAATTTTTGGCAAGATTTTTGTGATCAGGGTTGATGCAATCCTTTTTCAGGTAGGCCAGACCCAGTAGTTGGTTAGCAAAATCTTGTATACAGCCTGAAAGCTATGTGTTTTTATCTGTTTTCGGCTGTCCATTAAGTTTGTTGCATCACTTCCACTTATTTTTCTTTTTTGGATTCTATTGTGGTAGGTTTCGTAAGTCATGTCCTTCCTGAACTCGGGTAGAATGCCTCATCCCTTTCTTGTTTTCATGTGACCCTTTTTCTTTTGGCATTATATTAAAATGTTTTTGTGTTTATTATTGATGGAAAGAGAGTATTAGAACTTTGCTGCTTGTCAGAGTTTTATACAAATTTGATATTTGTTCTTTCAAGCTCTTCATTAGTCACTGGAACACGAGATAGTTTTTCCTTGTTTCTTTCTGAGGAGTTGGTTGGGGGTGGGGGTGAGGGTGTTCTCAGAGTTCAAGAAATTTCCACGTATGCTCTCTTATCATGAATGTTTATACTGTTTCTGTATGAGAACTGAAGTCATGGTAAACAATCGATATACAATTTACACAACCTACATCTTTATTTACTGGAGATTGGCTGCACAATATCATCTAGCTGGCATAATGCTTTAGTGTTTTCTCGCTTTGACCGTCTCTATTTATATAGTCACCATTCTGAATGTGGTGAACATTCTGGAAATGGTTAACAGGCTTTACCAGCAGCTCTCTACTGGTTGAACTTACAGGTGGCAGCAGTTGCATGAACGCGTATCAAACCCAAAGTTTGTGGTTGAATTCTCACTCTTGATAGTGATCCTTCTGTTGTTAATCAAAACACTGTGATTGTGGAGGCGTCAGCTGTCCTCGGCAGTTACAAGAATCCCTGATCCAGCTGCTTTCAACATCATACCTGCACAGAGTTTGCTAGTCTCCGGCCTCAAACTGATCTGGAGAGAACTAACTTCCTACAATGGAGTGAAACTCCCAAACGTCTACCGTCCTGGTAGCTATATCACATACACATGGTAGAACCATTTTCTACTGTTCACTTTTTGCATCGAGTTCAGATTATTTACTACTAGCATTTAACATGCCTATATAGTTCTCAAAATAAAAAAGGAAGTGCCTATTTTATCCAAGGCCTTTTTATGAGAAAGTTGAGTTTCAGTATATGGTTAGAAGTGTTCCTGTATTTCTACATACAATAATTGTAGAGAATTCTCACAAGTCTCTTGAAATTTTTCATAGTTCCAGTTGTAGTCTAAACATGTTCTATATGTATTTTTTGGGAACTGTGGAGAGGGAAAAGTTCATGGGATCCTACTCCCTTTGTTTGTTCGAAGAAATATAATTTTCTTTTTCTGGTTTCCATCTTTAATTGTGAGCAATAATTACTTAATAGCATTTGCGTTTGGAGCTTAGCACCTTATATATTCTCTATAAATAGGGAAAAGAGTCATTTATGGGGAAAAGTTTAATATTATCCTCCGTTGTACTATGGATTCATATAATGTCCTTGTGTTATAAAAGTTGTTCAAATTTATCCTATCGTTAACTCTATTCGTTTTATCCACATGATATGTCAAACAATTGATCTTAATATCCATCTTTTCCTCCCAGACATAAAGATCCATGTGCTATGCACACATAAATATGATACTCATTGGAATCAATTGATCCCTAATATATATGAAGTGTGCATATCTCTAGTTATGGAAATGGGTCAAAAGTATCTTTAAATTATTGCGAATGGAGCACTTGTCTCTCTATTATATTTTGGTATCAAAATTGTCTTTATCGTCTAAAAATTGGATCATACTTGTCCCTCTTTACTAAAAGAACTTTAGATTTGACTATTCAAAACGGGTGAAAATTATTTATACCTTAAATTTTACTTTAAAAATCAAAGTTTCTTTCAACTTTGAGAAATAATCATTTCTGAATTCGAGCTATTAAGAAAGCAAAGAGATAGAAACTCCCATGAAAAAAGAAAAAAAAAAGTTCCAGCTCAAATAACCATGCAAAGCTAATAATATCGTGATTATAAATGATGATCAAATGTATATATCTCCAAGTGATGTACACTTGAGACGGCTCGAAGCAACTCAAATTCGGTGAAAGTGACCCAATGATATCACATTTAATAATGAATCCTAATCATCATCAATCTTCCTATATTTCGATATTATATTGAATTGTGTAACAAAATTATCTAAAAGTTAATTTATTTATTTTTAAATACGTTTTTATTTACTTTAATTATATCTTCGGTACTTAAATTGGACAAAATTTCATACATTAGGGACTAAACTGTGCCTTCAAAAACAATTGATTTCCCCAAAACACAAACAAGACACCAAAAGCAACAAGAACACTCTCAGAAGTGTAAGTAAGAAATCTCTGAAAATGCAATTCAAGGCAGCAGCTGGGTTCAATCTCTCAAGATTTCACAGGTAATTAACACCCTTTTCTCTCTTAATTCCATTTCTGTAGTTTGTACACTCTCATGGAAATCATTGTACATTCTTTTGGAAGCTCTTGGACATGGAGATTTGTGCTGTCACAATCATACTCTACAAACAAAGCGACGCTGATTAACGGCAGTTACTCCGGTGGGGGTGATTTAAAAAAACGAATTTTGAAGGTGGTTTCATCGGGTGTTAACCCGACGAGGAGTGTGCTTGAGAATTGGGTGGATGAAGGCCGTAGAGTTTGTCTAAACGAGCTTAGGGTGATTATACGGCAGCTCATGAAACGACGTCGATTTGGACCTGCTTTGGAGGTTTGTATTTGCCCATCAGTTTTTTTTTTTTTTTAATTAAACAAATTGAATTTGTTGAATTTTGTATCTTTGAGTGCTTGATTATGTGATTTAGTATGGTTCCTTAAGTTTTAAAATGTCAACATGATACTGTAATTTCCTTGAGCTTTTCTAATGCTGGTAAAAGCGTATTTTCGTTAGAAGAAAAAAATTAAGAATTTTCTTTTGTGGTGCGTGTGATTACTTGATTAATATGGCTTTTGTCACACAATGGATGTGGTGCAGTGGATGGAGCTGCTCCTCCTCCTTAACCAGAGGTCTCAGTTTCGGACCCTGGTATGGAAAAATCCTTGGTAGAGAGTGTTACCCCGAATGGGCCCTACTGGTGAAAATTCAGATTAGTCGGGCTCCAATGATCGGACACCGGATGGGAAACCAAAAAATGAAGGGTTTTTTCTATAGTATTAGCACAATAGTAATAATTTCCTTGATTTTTTTTTATTTTGAATGCTCATAGAAATATCTTTTTTTTAAAAAAAAAATATTAGGAACTTCTTCTTCTGGGTGCTTGATTATATGCTGTAATAAGGTTATTTGAGACGATAGAATGAATCAATAGTTTCCTTTTTGAGATGCTGATAGGAATATCTTTTGTTCTGTTGTAAATTTGAGGGACAAAAGTTGGTAGCTTGATTTTTTTTTGTGGTTTATACTACTACTTTTGTTCTTCTTATGAAGGTAAATTAATATTGATGTGGTTGGAACCCTGAATACCGGGTGTGACATAAAGTGGAAAATCTTACAAAAAGACCTGAGTTTCTCGAAAGAGCATACCAAAAAAGAAACCGATCCACTAATCTGTAATCTACTTGTTTCCTTAAAATTTTGAACTGCTTGTACATTTATGTAATGCTAATATATCAGCTTATATACTTGATAGATGCGTACTGGCGATAATTTGATATTATCCGTTAATTCCGTAAGCTTTATAATAATTGAGAAATTGGTGAAGTAAGGATTGACTTGCTCAAATTTTATTTTGGAGTATGAGGAGAAAAAAAGAAATGCGGTGGGTATTTTACACAAGGACTATGAAACCTTTTCTTTTGAAATATCTCCTCCTTTTGATCTGTTTGTGCATGTAACGGAGACAATAATGTATATCTTTCTTTCTCTGTTTATATTTATTTGCAGATACTTAACTGGATGGAAACTCAACATTGTTCTCAGATGTCACCTTATGATTATGCCAGGCGACAAGAATTAATTGTTAAAGAACACGGTAGAATAGAAGCTGAAAGATATTTTGAGAGTTTAACAAGCACTGTTTCGCTGAAAGCTGCTTCCCCCCCTCTTCTTCATTGTTATGTTGAAGAAAGGTCCACTGAGAAGGCTGAAGCTTTCATGCTAAAGATAAACAAGTTGGGACTTGCTCTGAGCCCTCATCCGTTTAATGAGATGATGAAGCTTTATAAGGCCACATCTCAGTACCAGAAAGTACCATCAGTCATCCTGCAAATGAAACAAAACCGAATAACTTTAAACGTCCTCTCCTATAATCTCTGGATGGACGCATGTGGGGAGCTCTCTGGGGTTGAATCAGCAGAGATGGTATACAAAGAGATGCTGAGTAACCAAAATGTAGAAGTGGGATGGAGCTCTTTAGCTACATTAGCAAATATTTATAAGAAAGCAGGACTCACGGACAAGGCAGTTTTGGCCCTAAAAACTGCTGAAAAGAAAATATCCTTTAGTAATCACTATCCTTACTTCTTTCTCATTACACAGTATGCTTCTTTGAAGAACAAAGATGGAGTACATCGGGTCTGGGATGCCTCTAAAGCAGTAAACTCCCCAATAACTTGTGCCAACTACATGTGTATCTTGTCGTCTTTGGTCAAGCTTGGTGACATGAGAGAGGCCGAAAGAACTTTTGTGGAATGGGAGTCTCAATGCAGGACATATGACATTAGAGTCTCCAACATACTTCTCGGTGGATACATGAGAAATGGATCAGTCGAAAAAGCTGAATCGTTACATTATCGCACGTTGGAGAAAGGTGGATGTCCAAATTCTAAAACCTGGGAGATATTGGTGGAGGGATGGATAAGAAGTCAACAAATGGATAAAGCTATCGATGCCTTGAAAAGTGGTCTTGCTGCTCTAAAACATTATGAATGGAGGCCATCACCAAGTATTGTTGTCGCAATTTCAGAATATTTCGAAGAAACTAGAAATTTTGAGAAGGCTATGGAGTTTCTTACAACTCTTAGACATTTTGGTCCTGCTAATTTGCAAGTGTACAAGTCATTGCTTAGAATGCAAATCTCAAGAGAAGAAGTCCACTGTACATCCTTGAAATGATGCAGAATGATGGAATTGACGTGGATGATGAGACCTCTGCCATCTATTCAGGCGTTTTGCATTGTTGAGAACTGAAAATCCATAGTGGTACTTTAATTGTGCTTTATATACATGGGCAGAAGATGGGTTAGAATGTCGAGCATGTTGAACAAATTTTTGTCACTTGGTGCTAACTCTGAGTCTGCGGCTTGAAATATGAAGAGCACAGTGGATGTGATTTCTTGGGACTGCATCCTGCAGCGACTAGTAAGTTTTTGTTTGATCAATCTACTCTCCTTTCTCATGATTCCCTTTGCACTTGGAAGTTGCAATATCAGTAACTCGGTGTAAGATTATGGCTTGTGCATTTTCTATTATCTAGCCAGAGTGTAGAGTTATTCTACTAACTGTTTTTCATGATACTTGAGACTTTCGGCATTTGATATTCACGTATGAAATTCCAAAAAAAATATCTGAATATCTTACCAAAGGCAAACAGTCTGCCAGCAAGGACCAAAGTCTTTATTATGATAGATGATTTTCCTGCTTATGCATAGTCCAGGTTTAGGATGAAGATGCAGCTTTATCAAATATACTGCTCTTAATCTACTCTGTGCACCATCTGAGCCTCTATGTCCACTGTAAGATATAAGCATTGGTGGGCATCTCAACTTTTCTGAATATATCTGATTCAACAAGTATCGTCTGCCAAAAAAAAATTCAACCTTGAGATGTATTCTTATTATTTACACTTTTAGCTTGATTCACCCTAGCAAGCTTCTTCAGTGTCTATGTTCAGTCTCTCCCTTCCATATGAAGAATAATAGAGTTTTATTATTTACAACAGGATGATGAAGCTTCAGTAAAAGCATGTCTTTTTTACATTTTCTGTTGCATTACGGAACTTTCATGCACATCTTAGTTCTATTATGATATTTCTTTCAATTTGAGGCTTTTTTGGCGAAATGTCCAAAGAAAATAGCTCCCAAATTTTTTGTGACACTGTATGTTCTTGATGCCTACCAAACTAATATGGAATCGTGTCATGATAGAGATGATATGGATGAGTTACTTGGTTCTTTATAGAGATGATTGGTAGTACTAAGGGTGATTTTGAACAAATACACTTATGGATGCAAGCTGAATGTCTATTTTAATCTGTAATCTGTATAGCCTTACTAATGGATGAGGTTCCTCGTGAATGATCGATTATATTATGGTTCAAAGTCTCTGGTCCTTTGCAGCTTACATTAATGTGCCAATGCAGGGTTTCTTTTAACATTCACAGCCCTTTTCCCTCCTCCCCTTAAACTAAAATGAGATTCTCTACTTGCAGAAAGTTGAAGGAACTCGTATCCTTAAAAAGTAACTCAAATGTTGCATGGCATATTGACAGTCAGGCACTCGTCCTTTATCACGGTGCAATGTTCCTTAAATTTAAATAGTTGAAGATTCTCTAATTTTTACAGAAAATGACTATATGATATCATGTTCATAGATGCTTATTCCCTTATTTTCCCACAATTGTATTTGATAGGCAAAACAGCTAAATCTTACATGTCATTCAAACTCATTGAAAAAGATTACATACCGTATAATCACATTTAGTAAAATCTTCCTCCATGGGAGGTTATTTTAGATTTCAAGGTGATGCTGAAGCAACCAACATCTTGTGGAACCCTTTGTTATGCTCTAACAATTTGTCTTTGGGTGGTGTACACTCTTTCAGAATGGGAGCAGCTTCGAGGACATTCTGAAACCATGAAACAAGTGAAGGCATTTCCTCAGCATCAATAAGTTTGATATCCACAATCTCCTCAACAATCTGAGCCCAGCAGATGATCCAAGCAGACGCAACATCCATGAAGCCAATTTTCGTATCTCCAAAAAAGTGTTTCTTGCCTAGTTCACCCTCTAAAATTTTCAAGTTCTCACGAGCTTCTTTTGCTATCTTCTGCTGCTCCTCTCCGACCTTGACGAAAGTACCAAATATTCCTGGCACACACTGTAAAGAAAGAAAGAGCATGAATGATCCAGTGATTTGCTGCGAGATGATAAACAAGTAACAGGAATGGATTCTTTTATATTTGAACATTGGTTATTACCTTGTCATCAACAAATTTTGCCCAAAAACGCGCCTTGGCTCTTTCATAAGGATCTTCAGGGAGGAGGGGATTGTGCTTCCATGTCTCTTCAATGTATTCAAGTATGACTAGTGATTCTGCAATAGGTTTCCCATTATGAACCAAAACTGGAATCTTCTTATGAACTGGATTGTACTGCAAGAGCAAAGGACTTTTGTTTCGGAGATCTTCTTCTTGGTAGTCATATTCAATCCCTTTCAGTTTCAGTGCCCAATGAACCCTCAGAGCAGAAGGGCTTGCCCAGTTTCCAAGCAATTTCACTTTCTCTCCTGTCATTGCTGATTCTTGCTATGTAGAGGGTACTCAATCTCTCATGTTATATAGAGGTACAATTCTTGCTGTGCTAACCAAAATGGGCTTAAGGCTGCTGCCAAATGTTGGAATATTACAAGTCTTGAGATAATTAAGTGTGAAATAATGAATGTTTAGTTGTTTACCACTAATTCTCTTAGAAGGTATTTTAGTACTTCCGTGTCAAGATAAACTATCAAGACTACTTATTCTTTTGACTTTTCAATGCTAATTAACGCTCCTTTCTATTAAAAAATTCATTATTCATCTCATCGGAAAATGACAGTTTCTGCAATCTTATTCACATAGTTTTGTTATTATTCCATCTGGCACACGTTCTATTTATTTTATTTTCAGTATGTCCAAAGAAGACACCATAGTGTTTTCATTTCACAAATAAGATATGTCACTATCTATAGCTCCTTCCGTTTTAATCTGTTTGTCTAGTTTTGACTTGACACGATTTTTTTTGAAAAAATAAAATAAAAAAGGCTTGAATCATGTGGTCTAATGTATCAAAATATTATTTTGTCTTATGCTTTTAAACATACAATGTGGAAAGATAGAATTAAGAGTTATTAGAAAAAAGAAAGAAAAATTCTTTTTTAAACGGACTTTAAAAAAAAGGACAAATAAAGCGGATCAGATGTTTTCAGACAAGCATAAACGAGAGGTTTACATAAACAAATTGACAGGTCAAAAAGGAAGTGAGAAATGTAAACGCACGTAATCAAAGAGTTGGAAAAATGGGTCCTAAATGTTCCATGATTGTCAACGTTTATCTTATTTTTGACAAGTTAATGGCAGTAAAATGATTTTGATTTTTCCATTTCCCATCAATGTGTGCAAATTTGGTGTTGAAATAAATTCACAGACAGAGAGCAGCCATCAAAGTTATACGATCTAAAAAGCATTTATAAGTCAGAAGGTGTAAATACTTTTATCTGCCAACTATTCTTAACTTAAACCAGGATGATTAAAAATCAGAACTCTTTTAAGTTTTAGACAAAACTAGTCACTTTACAGTTTATGGTTCCCCAACTTACTTGGGGTTGATGCATAATTGTTGTTATATGAGTATCACATAGCATTACAACATTGACGAACTTCCTCGACGACAACCTTAAAATACAATTCTTCAGAGATTACTGCAGAAACTACTTATTCCACCTCATAAAACTTATGCAAGATGCTCTCCTGTTTGATGTTATTACTGCAATGATGATAAAGCCTGTGAAACATTTCTCGAGATTCGATCATGGACTGGCTCCTGCATGAAGAACAAGTTTTAGTAACTGCTGTAGTCATCCAGTAATGCTTTTCCTACATAGGTTTTTACCTTTGTTCCAGGCATCTCGAATCTTGAATTTGTTATTGTCTCGAATAGAAAAATATATCTGTTTAATGAAGTGGAAATCAGCACTAATAATGGAAACAGTGAATAATGATAATCGTAGGCAACTTTGATGCTAGTAGATCACAATCAAGTGAAGGTTCAATGTTTTGTTAGTTAAAAAGAGTGGAGGCTTTAGCTCGACAGTGATAACATGGGAAGACATGAACACATACCGCCAAGCTAATTCAGAAACAAGTTCTTCTGGAGCATCAGGCAAGACCTAAGCAGGAGAATCAATTTTTCAATTAGTGCAATTTCAAAAACAAGTTATATGAATACCAAGGAAATGAGCAGAAAGACCGATCACCTCATCCTCATATGGGTTGCAATGACTTTTGAACCACAACCTCAAGAATTCCTAGGCAAATATTAGTTGTAGTGTCAGTCAGCATATTGCAAGAGACAGCATACTAAAAACTATATAATCTAAGATAACCGGAAACATCAGAAGAAAATAGTTGTTTTCTACTTTCTTAATCCAGTAGAGATTAATGCTTGAGCATGCGTTTAAGGGATACAGATTAAGTTTCATATAATGTAAGAAACCTTGTCGATATTTTCAGGCTCAAGACCATTCTGAAAGCGCTCCTGGTAAGAATGTGCAATCCAATATCTACTTGAGTCAGGTGTATGCACCTAAAAGTTGGAAGCAGAAGATGGGGTCTTCAGTGAGAAAAAGTAGAATCATTGTCAAGGAGAAACAAGGCCATCTAAAGCTTACCTCATCAATCAGATAGATTTGACCATCGGGTCCCTTTCCAAATTCATATTTGGTGTCCACTAATATCAGCCCATGATCCAATGCTACACGCTGCAATATAAAAGTTAGTAAATATAACTGCATAAAAGTTAGATTTATCCTAATAATAGTTCAAATGCACTCTACAGCTAACACACAAAGTATAGCTCAAAACTCTACCTATTAGTTCTTTTAAAAGATTTGAGAAGCAGGACAAGGGTATTTTTGCCTAACATGGAAACAGAATTAGCCCAACAAATCTTTTCAAGTTCTAGTTATTTTTAAAAAAAAATAAGATTGAAATATAACTCACAGAAATCCATTAAAATTTGTATTAAGTTCAAAAGATCTAGGCATACTAATAACGTACATAATATACTCTAACTTATCAATTTCTTAACTATAGAGCAACAACATATTATGTAAAATTAAGGTTAAATACTTTTTTTTTGATAACCAAAATTAAGGTTAAATACTTAAAGAAAAACAGCTGGGATGACAGTGTGTATGGACATTCTTGGGGCGTAGGAGACGGATAGCCTGAGTAAAGCATTCATGTACCAAATGCTCCACCTATTGAGGCGCTAACCCATGAAACCTCACTATCTCATGGTCTCCCCGGGGTACTTGGAAGCTATCTTGTGGAGCGGATAACAATTTTATGTTTAGAACATTTGACCATTACTAGTCTGAATAACTTCCATACCAAAGTGTATAACCTTCAAGAGTCATTTCTGAACTGCTGAGATAGGTGTGATGACAGTTGATAAACCAGGCATGAAATAGAAATTTTCTACTCAAGCAACAATTCTAGAAACTACTCATTGAAGACATGATTATTACATGGAAGCTCAATTTGAAAATATGAACACCAGGCATTTCCGAGGAGGATTGGAAACTACTTCACCTCTTGATATAAGTCTACAACTCACTTATGTAGGAAAAAGATCTGAGAACTGGAAGGAAATGTAGAGCTAACAGAAGGAGATTTTCACCTATAAATCGCTATAACTGACAACACGCACTCATCAAGGCTGATGTGGCCTCTACATCTTAGCTCAAGTTTTCTATTAGCAGAAGTGTGTACACATAACTAATTATAGGTGTAGCATCATGTCAGACTTTAAATATCTAATTAAATTCATATTTTGAGCTCCTAAAGCAATGTCATTTATGGGGCATGCTACTTTTTTGGTGAATACAGAATGGAAAGCCTCTCTTGACTTCTCAATTCCAAGATTGGAAGTTAACTAAGACAGACAAGGAAGAAAAGACAACAGCACCAGCTAAAGCAATTTGCTTTGAAACATCAAGAAGAACTTGAAATCAAGAAACAACAATAATATTGAAGTGAGAGTAGGGCATTATTCGTTAAGTCAGCAGATTTGAGTTGAAGAGACTGACATTAATAGCTATAGAAGAAAGGCATGACAAGAATCGCAATACAAAAACATATAAAACAGAATACAAGATTGTTTACCTGGCCAAACTCAAATAAGCTCATTGCCCTCCTACTGACTTCATCATAATCAGCTTGAGTCATAAGACCGCGTTGAACTATCTGCAGTTATATATAGCAGATTAGCTTCATACTCATCTCAAATCAACATTGATTCAATACTACAACATATATCTATAGCCCCAGGCTTTGGCATGCAAATACTCAAAAATTTAGAAATTCTAACTCTAATACCAGGAAGTGAACCAAGGTCAACCAAATCATAAACTGTGACAAAAACATCAGATTAACAAGATGCAAAACATAAAGACCGCAATGTAACCTTCCAAGAATAGGACCAGTTAGCATCTTTAGCCACTTCTTCATATTTCACGTAACTATATCTTACACTTATTTCCCATCAACATGTAAGAAATTAGCCTATTCAGTTATAGAAGAGCAAATAAAAAGAACAGCTAGACTGCTAGGGAAGTAAGAAGAAAAAGAAGAACGAAGAAAGAATACAGACCTCATCTGGTGTTACAGGAACATCATGATCTGCTGCTTTAGTTGTCGGAGTAAGTATATTTTCGGTAAGCTTTTGATTTTTCACCAGACCTGTCAAAAAGAAATCATCTTTAATATAAGAACAAGGTCAAGAAAAAAAATAAAAAAGAGATAGACAAAGGCTAAATAAAACGGTTGCATTCATGCATTATACAAACCACACCATCAGGAAGGTTGTTGCCGCAATAATTGCGAACCCCTTTATTGTAGACTGTCCAGAGTGATGTATCAGTGCTTCCAGTAACATATCCTCGTACTAGAAAAAAAGATATCGTTAATATCTTAAACCATGGCTTTATTGATTTATAATAACAAAATACTCACCAACAAACATAAATTAAAATGAGAAGTAGATGCAAGAATGACCTAGTAAGTTCATAAGAAAAGCTTTTAGAAGTTATTACTTAATTATAATAATTGCATTTAAAGACACTTGAAAACCTAGAAGCATAAAAATCAACCGCTTATTAGGAGATTTTCAGCTTGCACCCTTCAAAATGACGCCTATTATGAATTTCAATTGCATAATTATGAAGACTTGCAATCGATTTAGCTCCCTTCCTCCCAAAAAGAGAGTGGGGGCATTAACGATGGTTCAAAGTGACATCATCGCAAAGATTTACTAAACATGCCGGTGCAGGACATATAACCAAAACTAACAATTTGGCGGACTTATAAAATTACCTCACTATACATCTATAGCTATACTACCTTAAAAGCATGAACTCACAAACTTGAAAGTTAAATTACTTAAATACCCCTAACTTAAAAATAAAACCTAACTAAAAACACCACTTCGCTAATCGGTAACAACTAACTTTCCGCGCTGGAGACGCCTTCCCAAGAGTCACCACTCCCAACTATGACATTCTGTACAGCCACCAATGTCCCTTCCCCAACAGGTGCAACTGCTCATATTTCTCTCTTTAAAACCATCAGCCTTGAACGCAATCCTACATTTTTCTGCATTTAACGAACAGGTATGGCCTGCATATGCATATGATTATCCCAGCTTACTTACTCATACTGTTCGTTAAATGGTTGTCATACTGTCATTCAACCTTATGCACAGTATTTTCAAGCGACCATTGATCCATCTCCCGCTCAACACAATCAAACATTGGAATAGTCTTTGGTTAGATTGCTCGCTGCTGTTCAACAGCGGTAAGTTCCATCGTACCTATTTGATACTCATTTTTATTTGCAATTTACATCTTCTCGCATAAATTTCTGCTATTCTTTAATTTATTCATCAAACAGATGGAAATCTTACGCCCTGAACTCCACCTCAATTTTATGCGTTTTACTTACCATGTTCCTAACTTTGGCATTGTCACATTAAAATTGCTACATCCTTTAGGCCGTTAGTTTCTTCCCAGCAACCAAAATATTTAAGTGTACATAATGGGTAGCCCTAACACACACAACCACACTATGGGTGTATTCCATGGGATAGTTAAAAATATATTTAAGTTTAGATTTAAAAAAACAGCAATTTCTTAGCACGCCAAAAGAATCTCCAATTTGAGTTCCCCTCTGGTGGAAGAATATTAAATGAACCAGTATCTTTAGCACTCAACACGTACTGGCCATTTTCTGATAAAGAATCAACCACTATCAAACACACAATAAGTAGGACAATGAGGTTCCCTTGTGTAGGGAGCACTATTAATCTGATTGTGTGAACCCGAATAATCGATTAGATTGCCTTGTGTATTAAAAAAGATGCTTATGCTGCCATATCATGATGCTGAGGAATCTACACCCATCAGATGGTTTATGCAATGTGACACGATTGATTTGAAGAGGTTTTGACAAGAATGTCATACACGCGGAAATAACAACGGGACAATATGCTACAAAACAAGTGGTTATTCCAAGAATACCATTATCACCACTAGAGAAAGAACGATATCAATTTAAGTTCATTCGGAAGCAATTTCCAGTACGTCTATATTTTGTAATAACTATAAACAAAGCGCAATCTCAAATGTTGGATTACATCTGCCACAACATGTTTTCTTGCATGGCCAACTATACGTAGCACTTTCAAGGGAATTTTCAAATAGCTCCGATGAAAGTATTGGCTATGACTGAACAACCAGATAGAAGGATAGGGACATACACAAGAAATATTAAATACAAGAAGGTATTAGGTGAGATACGATTGATAACATTGAAAAGTGTAATGCAATTGGGAAAAAAACAACATTACAGGAAGCTAATGAAAATCTCATTGGTTGTATTCATAGGTTCGGTTGAATAAGTGATGAGATGACAATCACCATGCAACTTTGGAAGAAAATACTACTTTCGTGTAGACATATTTAGTGATAATTAGGATACAAGTGACTGAATACTACTGAAATGTAGCCTGCACTGCTTGACACCATAAATCTGAGCCACAAATGATGATTCAAGATCAATTAGAAACTTAAAATTTTTCTAAAGCTTCAGCACCAAGATGTCAGTGGCACTAATAAGAAACATTGGAAAAGACGTATGGATACTACTCCAGAATTATATGAATCTCAAAATAATCATACACGTGCGTTGCACATGTGGTGAATCTAGTGTATATAAGAACCTAACCACACATAGCTCATTATACGTCGGTCAAAAAGTGAATCAATTTTGAAGATAATACCACTACAAAGTAGATACTCACCTACAAATTCAACAGGGAAAACCAAACATTTCCTCGCAATAGTTACGTTTTTGTCAGGTACAGATACCACTGCATTAGGAGTAATATGTTGAGTCTTATTAAACCACCATAAACTTGTTTCATTAAGCACCTGCATAACCACAGTGCAACTAGATTAAAGCTTGAATGTAGGGATCATGTTATACTTGTTACAAATTGAATACTATCAATAATATGCAACTTTACCTGGCCTTTGAAGGGGATGGAAGCAAGAATTCTGTCAAACGCACTTTGCCTATCTGTTGTCACCATTACAAGATAATCCCCTCCATCATATATATCTCTAACCTTCAAAACACATGGAATTTTTCATATGTGCATTCGGAAATAAATCATATTTCAAAACTAAGCATATAAATTTTCAATAAAGTTGTCAACTTTCCATCCAGAAAACTAAAATTCCTCTATCAAATCTATGCAATTAAGCTTTTCCACAATACCCAAAATAAACAAATTAAAAAAGGGGTTGGAGATAAATTATAAACCGCATTACTGTTCATACAAACTCAACCCATCTGCCCCCAGCTTTAGTCCAACACAACCCACATTGAAAAAACAAAAAAAGAATACAAGTTTTATTTTGAATTACCTTGCCTCTGATTTTGGACTTGAGTTGAGGTACAGTTAAATCAAGATGGGTTTCAGATAAGCAATTAGATATTGAACTTTTGATAGCACTCATGAGTTCTTCCTTGTGGTCATTGTTGGTTAAGGCTACATGGGGTAGTGGATTTTTCTGCTGACTTGACATAGTAATTAATGGGTATTTCTTGAATTTGGTTATCTTTGGTGATGATGCTGTTTTTGAGAAGGAAAAAAATGGTGAGTTCAAAGATTGAATCTTTTTATTTAGGGTTTTTGGAGGGTTTAAGGCTGGCAAAGCCATTGTTTTTCTCCTCTTTCTTTTTTTCTTCTTTCTTCTTTCAGGGTTAAGGAAAGAAGATGACCATTGTTCGTAATTTCGGATTCCGCCGCCGCATGCTCAAATTTTTTTGGGTAAATTTGCATTATTTTTTTGGTAAAAGTAAGAAAAAGAAAATGAGAAAGGAAATATAAAAAGCAAAAATAATTAATATTTGAAAAGTTAAACCGTTTTTTTTTGTTATGATTTTTTAAAATATACTTTAAGTTATTTTATTATATAAACTTATACTAATATTTTTTTATTGTAATTTTAAATATATAAAATATTTTAATTATACCAAAATTTATGAATAGAAGTATGTATTTCGACTTTCATTTTTCAAACACTTTTATACAAATTGAAATTGAGGAAGAGCATCATGTATTAATTATAATTCTTATTAGATTTGAGTTTTTCTTAGCAAATCCTTAATTAAATAATTATAAAGTAAAGTATCTAGTTTATCTCAAAACTTTAAAGCCAAATTCTTAACACACTATTTATCATGAGTGGTGTTTTATAAACTCAATATTGTCGAAGTATATTTTAAAAACATTATTTTTTCTTTTTCTTTGAAATATGTGTATTGCATGCATCAAAAAACATTTTCATATTCATCAAAAATAAAAGGCAAATTAGTTTTTTTTTTCATTTTATATTAGCTTTACCAAATAGATTTTTGAATAATAAATGAATACGTGTTCACAACATTAATTATTTTTTTATTGAAAATCATATTATTCTATCTATTTTTGACCATCAAATATAAAAGTCTCAAGTTTTGAAAATTCATTATATATTTTGCCTGATTATAAAGCTAATTATTTGTTTAGGTAACACATTTTTAATTTTCTCAAGAAAATAAAAAGAAGTATAATACTTTTAGGATATAAAATTAGTTTTCTTTAGAAGACATGTAAAAAAAATATTATGTTAAATGAGATCTTTTTATAGGTTTTATTGAGCAAATTTTTTATTTCATCGTATGTTTTCAAAGATGATAAAGTAGTAATGCATAAGCCAGATATGTTATTGGAAGCAAATTTTGATTCATTTTTTGATTAAATACTTGTTTAGTTTGCAGATCCTGTAATTATTTTAAATGCTATGTATAAAAACAAATTAAAAAATGATGAGCAACACAAATCATATGTGCATAAAATAAGTTGATTTATTTATCAATATGAGTTGTGGTGGAATGATTGAGATTCCTTCACTTTTAACCTGATGTCTCAAATTCGAACCTTTGGAAATGAAAATAATTCTGTAATTGAGAACGATGCCTCCAAAAACGAGCCATCCAATATAGAAATTCAAATTAATGACATGAGTTCCAATATAGCAATTTGAACTTCAAGCCTTCAAACTGATATGGAGTTCATATCTATTTCAAATTATTGATGTGAAATTAAAATAAAAAGTGGCAATTTAAACTGGTTAAAGTTACCATTTTTTTTATATATATATATATATTTTAAATGTTATCATATTTTATAAATTTGATTTAAAAGTCCTATTTATGCAAAAATCTTATCAAAATGAATCAAATAAGGAGTCACAACGTATCTCACCCATATGAACAAACATCCCCTATTCTCTTATTTATTTATTTTTAAAAAAATGTAAAAGCTAATGTATTTTTCTTTTAAATAATATCAACTCAAGTTTTTCAAAAAATAGAAATAATTTATGTCAAATTTTACTTTGTATATTTGGGGTTTGAGTTATATTTGGACGCATTAGACTACTATTTAAATCCATTTAACCTGATTGTTTCAAAATTTATCTATTGAATTGAATCGACAAACAAATCATAATCTAATCAATTGCACTTAGACATACTAAAAAAAATGATTTGTTTTTTCACCTAAGCTATTTTTTTTAAAAAAAGTTATTTATTTTTCTTAATCTACATTTTCTCCCATGTTTATTTATTTATTTATTTTGTGTTTCTCATTTAGTGTTCGATACCTATTAGAGTCCAGTGTCTGGTATCCATAGTAGCTCGACTAAATTCGGATTCGCAATCAGAATATTGAAGCCCGATTATGTTTTTTTTTATGGGCAAACTACAAATATTCCACTAGTTTAGGTCCTAATTACTAAGACTTCCGATAGTTTCAAATACTGCTTTCTCTACCATATTTTGTGCTTAAGATACATGAGTTTGGATCCGCAAGATACATATATGTCGAATTTTAAAACTGAGATACATATTTTCGACTTATCAGGGGAAGAGAGAGAGTTTGAATTTTACCCTACCTCATACTCTCTGATAGAAAGATATTTGTAATTAAAACACTAATTTTAGAGTTTGAATGTAAAAATTATTAATCGATCCTATTAAGGAGTATGGATATTGATTGTATCTTCAATAATATATGATATAAAATATTAAAAGTGGTAATATATGTAATTGTTTGAAAGTAGAGATAAAATTAGCATATATGATAGCGATGTATGTCTTATAAAGTAGTTTATTATTTTCGATCTAGTGTACGATACTCAAATTGGAGCTCAACTAAATTTGAATTCACTCCCCAATATTGGCACCTAGTGAAATTCGTATTTGCACTGAAAAGTCCCACAAGGCGACTCTGTATCTAGGAAAATTCAAATACAAGAGCTTTGATTAAGAATGAAAGAGTAATTACCACTCTATAAACCTGATTGGTTTCTCCTACGTTAGATTTTAGATGATTATTCCCCTTTTCCATTTAAAAATTAATTAGTACTGCTGTATGAATAATTAGTTGCCCTTTTTCCTCCACTACCTTTTTTTCCATTCACTCTATTGGCTATGTCTTTATCAATTTACACAAATATAATTAAAATTAAACAAGGTAACTTTTATTTAGTACTCATGTTATTTAAATAAGACATGTTTTTACTTGTTCGACTGAATCTCTTGGGCTGCTTAGTAGAATGTATCAATATTAAATCATTAGGACTCCAAGTTCAAAAACCTTGTTTTTCAATTAACTAATAGTAGTAAATTTTAATGACTAAATTAAGTGGCTTAAATTTAATATACTAATCAACTTGGTGATTATGTTAATTTACGAAATCTAAATTAAAACTCACTTTCAACATACCTAATTTTTATGCTTTGACCATTTTCTTTTCATGGTATGACAATAGAATCTATAATTATAATAAACACGATAAAATATAAATAATAAATAAATAAATGATCAAGTGAAGTAATTGAAAATAACCTTACTCCATACCTAAAATGAAGATCCCAAAAACTTGTTGAGTGTTGTTTAGATAATTTTAAATTGCATATTTTTCTCTTGCGATTGAAGTATATCTACAACAATCTTTAGTAATACTTCTCAATAGATTTTATGTCATGATTATCGATTCAATGATAAATTAAACTTTGTTATAAGAAATAAAAAAGAAAAAATTGTAGAAATCTTATTTTAATAATAATAATAATCTATACAATTAAGTGATAAGTCTCTTGTTTATAAGAAAAATTAAACCCTTGCTAACCTTTTTAAAAAATGATTGAAGTTACCATATAATTATTTCCTCCATTAAGAACTTTCCTTTACTAAACCTAATTATATAAGGAAACAATATGCATAAATATTACTCCTATTATCATAACAAATCATTTCAATATTCTATTATCAATTATTTTAAATAACATTATAAATCACATTTACAAAAATTGGATATACTACATTAAATATTGGTTCTGATTTATTCTTAAATGGGATTTTAAATTTTTTCTCAAATGTATTAAATTAAATGAAATTTCTTAAATTTGAAAGTACAACTTTTTATATATTAAAAATATTCTTAAATAATTATGATGTTTGACTCCTAATCCTTGTAGGATAGAGAGACAAAAAAAGCTTTATATTATAAGCTCTTATAAATAGCTCAGAAATTATTTTCTCTCTTTTCTTATTTCTTTCTAATAACACTCTCTAGAACCCCTTTTCACCTCTTTTACAAAAGCAAACCTAAATCCATTTGATCTCAATGCAGATTTGTTTTTCTTCTGATTAAGTTTAAAATTTCTGAAAGATTTTCACCTGTGATCATACCTATTGATCCCTCAATTTTTTCTGATTTTTTGGGCTATTATTTCATCTTTTTGTCGTACGAGGTTCGATTCTTGAATTTTGTGTGTTTTTCGGTTGAAAGATTTTCAGTGTCACTGTTTAGGTGATAAGTAAATTGGGTTTGGATTAGTTTTGGCTAATTTGGGGTATAGTGGGATTGATTGATGAGGAATAAGAGAAAAGGATGTGAGATTCTGTGCCCTAGACAGAGAGAGATGTGGAATTCGATTCGTGATTCGGGATCTTCGATGTCGAATTTGAAAACCCATTTTTCGTTAGAGGAATGTTCTAGAAGGTTGAAGAAAAGGTGTAAGGAAGATGATGGGTTGTGTTGTGAGGTTACTGTTGGGTCTTGTGGAAGTAGAACTAGGCTTGCTGCAACTGCGCCGCCGAGTGGGAGTTCTTCGATTAGTTTGTGTGGGAGAGGGCTTAAGAGGAAGATTGGATGTATAGAGGCAGCTACGCAAATGGGTAGGAAGAATAAGATTGAAGATGATTATGTAATGGGGGGAGCTTTAGGGAAAGGTAAATTTGGGTCAGTTTTTTTGTGTAGGAGTAAGGTTACTGGTGTTGAATTTGCTTGTAAGACATTGCCTAAAGGGGAAGAGACAGTTCATAAGGAAGTAGAGATAATGCAACACTTATCGGGGCACCCGGGTGTGGTGACATTGCATTCGGTGTATGAGGATGCGGAAAGTTTTCATTTGGTGATGGAGTTGTGTTCTGGTGGGAGGTTGATTGACGAGATGACGAAGGAGGGAAGGTATTCGGAGCATAAGTCTGCTAATATATTTAAGGATTTGATGTTGGTGATTCAATATTGCCATGATATGGGAGTTGTACATAGGGATATTAAGCCTGAGAATATCCTTCTAACTGCTTCTGGGAAGATAAAGCTTGCAGATTTCGGCTTGGCTATGAGGATTGCCAATGGTAAACAATTGCACCGGAACCGATTATATATGTTACACTTGCTTCTTTTTGTTGTCACTTATTGCACTATCATGTTTACCAGGTGTTGGAA